TAAGAAATCAAAAATGATTTCTTCAGATTTCATACAAGTAATTCTATCTGTGGTTCCCTGACATTCCCTGACCTATTAAGGTCTCAGCATTTCTTCTTTCCATTATGTAACATCCAGCCAAGTCTATTTAAGCCCATTTTACACTAAGTTATATAAATTTTATTATTACATAACACTTTATTCACTTTTTACAAAAAACAAACATATTTGTATAAAATCAATTATATATAATTATCTACATCATTTCTATGTTATATAAAAAAATTCATAATTTGATTTAAATTAATTTGTACGTTTCATTTAAATAAGAAAAAGACTTGCATCAAAATTGAATTTTCTATTATATAAATTAATATAATAGGGTGTGTTTAAACATATTTCAATTTTAGTTAACTAATTTATTATGTTTTGCTGACAAACTTTAATAAATTTATATTATTTACACATTTTACTTTTCACTAGCAAAGAATGCCCAGCATTCCCCAGAACTCTGAGAAGGTTGAGTTGTTCTCATTATGTCTGCTGCAGAGTGGCAGAGAGTATCTGTGCAAAATTTGATGCAAATCATTCAAAGACTTTGGCAATTTGTGAGGAATGATATCAAGAGAAAGGTGCAAGAGTCTGAATTTTAAAGTAGCATATATTTTTTGAAGGATTGTAGAGACTAACTATGTAAAATTTGACCAGATTGCTCAAAATGTTTGGGAATTTGGTGTTAGGGGATTAAATCAGAGAGGAATGAGGGATCTTAGTATTATGGTAGACCATCTTTCCCTTAGGGTACCAGAGAGTAAGGGTTTGGGAGCTTATAGGGAAGATGAAATCAGCAGGAAGAAGTGAGGATCTGAGTTTTAAGGTAGCTACATACTGTACTGTACATCAGAAAGTAATAAGTTGTATCTCATAACATAAAAGTATTATAAGAAACAAACAACCAATATGATATAAATAAAGCATATACACAACTACCCAAACTACATGAATCAAAACTGAAAATATAAGATGATAAGTTTAAAGACCCTACCAACTGGTGAAGGGGATCAATATTGAATGGATTAGACCAGTGTTTTTCAACCTTCTTGAATATGTGACACCTTTACAAGTTAAAAAATTCTGGCGACCCCCCAGGGCCATATTAAAACTATATCAGTGATTTTAAAAACTACGTATTTAATTTTCTTTCCTTAAATATCGATCGAAAAACCAATTGTACTGTAAAATAAACAGGCACAGCCTTCTCACTGAAATTCTAGTCTTTTTTATTGTAGTGTAGGACCTACAAACACTTGTCTTTTTCTTTCACCCGCGACCCCCCCGTGTAAGACTTAGCGACCCCAGGGGGGGGGTCGCTACCCACAGGTTGAAAAACACTGGATTAGACAAACAACAATGTGAGGTAAATGTGGCAGTAAAAACAACATTCATCTGCATTTTTATTTTTTAATATAAAAATAGTATATAGTCTACGCTCATTTGGGAANACAGGATTAAGGCTTACTGCAAAGTACTCTGCTTCTATTTATACTATTTTAGATGCGATTTTATGCGTTTTTGATTGCGTTTTAATAGGGTATGTCAAGAGAATGTACACTAAGAAGGGATTTTTTGAAAAATTCCCCCCACGGGGTAAGTGTTATACATTTATAATAGATACATTTTGAGCCACAACAACGCGTGGCGGGGTCTGCTAGTGCATAATAAATTTATTTTACTCAAAAAAGATAAATAAAAAATTAAATTATAGTTTCAAACTATTGTTTGTTTAAGTTAAAAACTATTGTTTTACTTCCAAATACAATAATACTAGCATACATACATCTTGAAATATTTCTTGAGAACATTCTGCTGTCTGAATAAAAGTTTTATAATTATGAAAAGCAAGGTCTTGTGTTTGTTCTAAAATTGAAGCTTTTTCTTCAGCTAATTTTTCTGGTTCTTCACCTAAATAAAGTAAATATTATATTCACTATTTTTAAACATAAACTTTTGATAGAAATATTACACATATATAGTAATTAAATCATTATATGTTATAATCATATCTGTATCAGTATTTCTTATTAAATAAAAGTCCAAACTTCTGAATAAAGATTAATTTTACAGTGTTAAATAAATTAAAAAACTATTTTATCTTTAATCATTTCTTATATTAATTAAAATAAAAATGTCAGCCTATTAGAAGAAAATTCACATTTTGATTGAAAATAAGTATTTTGAATAAAATATCCCATTTACACACCTGATAGTTATATAAAAATGTAAGTATCTCTAAATTTAATTTTATCTTTACAATCTATACTATTATAATTTAAAACTTAATCATAATATTTTAAAGTAAATACATAATTACAGAAGAAAGAATTATTTGGTCTATTGTTTAAAGTTTTTAGACTATATTTATTATAAAAACATTTTTAAAATTAATTGAAACCTTTCTTATTAGAAGTTTTTTTTAATAAAAAAATGTAGTCCATAACTTAATATAGCTATTATAAAAGTGTTTATTGCAATTCTCTGAGAAATCTTAAAGATAAGAAACGCTAAGAAATCAATAAATATTATTCAACTAAAATACAGTCAAACCTCGGTTTATGAACTTAATTCATTCCTAAAAGTTGTTTGGAAACCAATTTGTTCTGAAACCAAAACAAATTTCCCATAAGAAACAACGTAAAATGGATTAATTCATTCCCGATCCCCAAAACACAGTCTTTTTTTTTTAAACCTTTTTGGTGGTATTTCATGCATAAAAATGCCTACAAATACAATATATTATTATATATAATATAATAATATCTATATCTATTCTATATATATTAAAAGTAAAGTGGAATTAATCCATCACCACCAACCAAAATTTAAACTTATACTTTACAAAGAAGTGCTACAGAGACTGCCAAAATGAAATATAACCAAATCAAACAAGACCAACAAGTACTTTATCCACACTTTCTGAAATGTTATTTTTAAATTGAGTTGATTTCAATTTTAATTAATTAATTAATTTTGATTTTATTTTAAACTTTAGTGTAAAGACCATGGTTTAATTATTATTTTTAATTAACTGGCTACCTAGTATTAATAAATATTCAATTAAACATTAATATTATAATAAAAAATTTTTGTAATTTAATTTAAATTAAGCACTTTAAAGACAGATTCAAAAATGTCATTTATATTATGTGAATGTCAATTAACATAGTTTTTATTAATTAATTTGATTTAAATTCAATTGTTATGCATACTGATAAATGGAAGTAACATCATACCCACATACAAATTGAAATCTAATTTGAATAACATCATCATTGATGGTTTGTGTTGTGATGTCTAATGACAAAAAGCAAATCTCAGTGCCACTACTAAATCAGTAATCCTGTCATTGATCAGTTGGGCCATCTACTTTCTTTAACATAGGAAGTATAGGAAGTTGACCATCAATAGCTGGCTCTGCTGATTAGCTTGCTTGGAAACAGTTATCGTATGGCAACTACAGCAAATATGGTTTACAAAATTTTGTTTGTAAACAGAATTGTTCGTAAATAGGGCATTCATAACCTAAGGTTTGACTGTAATCATATATAGTATGTGAATAACTCTGCACTTAATATAGTGCAATTCAAACAAATTTTCATATAATTTTAGATTCACTTATTTCTGTTTAATATTGCTAATGAAATTGTTAATAAAACACTGCATTATAAATAATAAAATTGTTTCTTTAATTTCCTACCATTAATTTGGAAGTTGTTCTTGTTCTATTTAGCCTGAAGAGGACGAATAAACTTGGCTAAAAACATTAGCTTAAATAAAAATACAGCTATTGCTGGTTTTAAAGGTTTGTTGTGAATGTATATAAAAACTATAGATATTTTAAGTACAATTATTAAATATGTGTACTTAATTTTAGTTTTATTTGATTCAAAAAATTTTATTTTTTCTTTACAATACTGGTCATGTAAATGACATTAATGACTCAATATTTGAATAGTCCAATATATTTTTCCAATATTTTTCAAATATTCCAATATAGAACAGAGAACAGAAATGAACCTGAAGATTTTAGGTATACATCAAACTCGTTTGTCTTTAATGTATTTAATTAAAGTTCTTCACTGGCCTTAGATTTTGAAGTGTTTGAGTTTTATTCTATCTTTTTCCTAATGATGGAACACTATTTTAAACTTATTAATGGTTCTATACACAAGCAATTCACTAAGATCATAAAATCATAATTAAGAACTATTGGCAATCTAGCAGACAGATCTAAAGTTAAATAAAAAAAATTTTACTTATTTCCAAGCTTTAAATCTGTTTTAAGCAAGTTTAACATAAACCAAGATTTGATTCAAGATTTACTGAATGTATTGCAAATAAAAACAATGCACAAAACCAGAAAATTTCATATAAAATAAAAAAACTTGATTGCTATCACAATTTTTTATACGATTTTAACTGTAANTATATATATTTACATTTTTTAATAAGAATGTTTTCTCTCCATAAATATTATATAAATGAGATAAGCAAATCAATTCAAAACAATTTTATTTAAAATTTGTCGTCAAAGATAAAGAAGCTAAAAGACTTATGAAGTCATTCCTACTGAAAAATCTTTGCTTTCCAGGATTCAAAGAGAATTTTTCACTCTCTTCCCATAAGGTTCCTTAACCTTATGTAATGAAATCATTACTTAACATTAGGGATATTATTTTAATCAAAGGAGTAGTTGTGTAATTTTTTTATAATTATAATATTTTTGTTTTATTGTATGTATTTAAAGTAAATAAACATGGCTTCTATATGCAGTCACTTGTTATTTGACTCTCAATAAGAAAATTAAAGTATATTTATTAATATCTTCAATTAGAAAAGCTTTTAAGGAGCATGAGCAACTTTATAATTCTGTGTCCTTTAAAATACACAAAATAATTTGTATATGTTTGTCCAGAATTTTTCACTTTTTCTTGAAGAAATTTGTTATGAAATTTTCTTTCTTTTCAATATTTTTCTGTAGCTGAACTTTTGGCTTTTTCCTTCTTCTTAAGTACTTCAATGCCTTGTACCATTGCTTGAGCAACTTTAGCTTCTTCAAAATCATTTTTTTCTAAAGCTGATTTTAGCTTCTTATTTGCTTTATCAAAAAGTTTTTCACTTGTTCTCTTCTGTCTCCCATTTCTTTTCTTCAATCAGATTTTCAAGTTTATCAATAGACTGTTTTATTTCCTGTACCTCTTCGTTCCATCTCTTCCACAAGTTTTTGCTATTTTCCTATTCTTTTTATTTCCAAGTCATTCTCTTTTCCATATAAGCCATATGAGATGCATAGATTGACCTCGTTAATGCCATCAGTTTCTGTGTAATTGTACATACTCTGGTTTATTACAATATTCCTTTAGTACAGGGATTTCAAACTCAAATGCAGCAAAGGACCAGTCAAATAGATGTATATTGGACATGAGCCATTTTCATTATTATTTGGTAAACCAAAACATACTGTAAACTAAAAAAAAAAACTCTAACAAAGGCCTTACAACTTACGTAAACAGTTAGAAGTTTGAAGTTTTTATCTTTTAATTCCTGCAGAATGTTAGAAACATTGATTTTTAGAAAAGAAATCATGAAGGCTACAGGCTGGATATAAAACCTTAATGGGCTTATCTAACCCACAAGCCACCAGTTTGTAACCCCTGCTTTAGTACATCTTAAACATTTGATTTGGCATTTAATGATTTAACATTCATGCAAGCCTTGTTATCTGTCAAAATTCTTCCAGGTCAGGAAAACCTCTTTCCACATCCACACTTCAATGAGATAGTTACAGAAGCCCGAATGAATAGTGATAAGAAGTATTTCAGATTCCCAGGAAGAGTTTCAAAGGCAAGGAATGTTTTCCAATAAACATCTATCAGAGCACTTTTATTCTGCTTAATAACTTTCCATTCATCTTGAAGAGTGTTTATTAGGATGTTCAAGGAAGGTTTACTATATTCACAATGTCTACATAGTTCACTTTCAATTTTTTTTCTCTTGGTTTCAGAAAGCTCAGGCTTTCTGAAACCAAGAGAAAAAAAATTGAAAAAGTTTCATTTCAGAAATTGAAAAAGTTTCATTTCAAAAATTGAAAAAGTTTCATTTCAAAAATTGAAAAAGTTTCATTTCAGAAAGCTCAGGCTTTCTGAAATGAAACTTTATTGTGTATACTGACAAAACTTAAGTATTCCATCTTTTGGAGTCCATTAAAGGAATTCTGAATGTGCTGACAGAATAATTTCTTTGAGGGGCAACAAATTGTCCTACTCAAAGATTTTAATTCCATCCCTTATTGCTTTCTTATCCACAGTCTTTATCATATTAGATTTGCAACTTCTTCCTATGATAGAAAGGCCAAAGTGTTCTTAATGCTTCATACAAAATTTGAATGAGAGGTTTATATCTCTGAAATACAGTATCTCATTGAATTTGCCAGAGATCAGCATTTGAGATAATAAAATGCAAATGAGTGCAAAAATGAAACAATTGACCTATAAGTTATGACTAACTTATAGGTCAATTGTAAGAGTTATTTGTTTTTGTTTAAATATTCTTAGGTGAATATACTTTTTACCATAAAAATTAGTACACCAAGAAGTTGTCAGAATTGAACGAAATTATACCTGTGTGAGTGTAACTGTAATATAAGTAAGTGATTACAAAATAAAAGCAAAAAAATCATTTATTGTAGGAAAAATTAAAAATGAAAGGAGGTCCTAGTACTCTGTTGAGTCACCTCTGGTGTGAATACATGATGTTATACTGGCGAGCTTGGAGGCATATAGGTACTGTATGGTATCCTGCGGCATCTCAGTCCACAGTTGCTGAAAGTGGTCTTCTATTTCAGCTGAACTCCTAGGCTGTCCAACTTGGCATCCCAGGTGACCCCAGACATATTTGATTGGTGAAAAATCAGGGGACTGGGCAGTCCAGGGAAATGTGGCAATGTGGTAGAGGCAGTCCTGTGACACCTTTGCTGTGTATAGCATTATCCTGTTGGAAAATGGCTCTTGGGAGCCCTGCCACAAGAGGCAACACATGTGGCTGCAGGATGTCACTAATGTACCAATGGACTGTCATGGTCCCTTGGATCACTACTATAGATGACTGGCTGTCATATGATAGCACACCAACTGTGTGGTAATGTATTGCTCCAAAGCATAGGCAAATTGAGATGTTCACCACGTGGACGCCAGACATAAACACTGCTATTGTCAGTGCACAAACTGAATCTTGATTCCTTGCTGTAAACAACCTGGTTCCATTCCACTGCAGTCCAAACTCATAAAGAGTGATGCTACTCCAAATAAAGTTGACAATGGATGGCTGTCAATGGCAGCACATGTAACGGCCACCACAATACCAAATGTTCCTCACCCAGGTGTCTCAAAATAGTAGACAGACAGACATAGGAGCCTGTAATGATGGCATAACCTGTGTCTAGATGGTGGAAAATGATACAATCAGCTGTGTGTCTGTTGTTGGAGGACCAAGTGGTCCTCTCAGCTAGTGAGTGGTTTGTCGAAGATGTTCTGTGCCTGGGCACAATGTGTACAAGTCTCTCTCATCCACTGGTCCCAACACCTCCACACAGTGTTGTCAGAACGACCTAGATGGAGGACCTATTTGATGAGATGATCATCCAGCTTCTTTTAACCTGATGATCCTTCCTCTCTCAAACTCAGTTAGTTGTTCATATGGTCTTTGATTGCAAAGTCCTTTGTTTCATATAGTACAGATTTGCATAACATAGCACTTTTTTCAAATGTAACTACTACATTATTTGAGAGATACCTGTATTAATGTTTTTGACCATGTTCAAAGGTTATCTTCAGCAATTCTTAACTTTTATGCAGTATAGCCTGAAGATGGCCTTTGAACAATATCAAAAACATTAGAAATTAAACGAAGCATTGCTGGAGTTTTATAATTTGTGTTAAATATTACAAGATAATTTAGTAATTTAAACATGTTCACATTTCATTCAAAATGCTTTAGAAAGAACAGAGTTATCAAAGTATACCCTATTAAAAACTATTTTCCACAATAGAATCAAATGAATCTACTAGATATATAATGCTATAATAGAATTATTTACGTTCCTGAAAATTTTTCATAAAATTTGATGCTACATTATAATGCAACATACAGATATTCTATTATAATGCAGTATGATCAGCAATCTATTATTTTTCATATTGTTATTTCTATGTTCTGTAAATTTTCAATGTTTTATTCACAATTTTGTTCGTGTTAAATTTTTTGTTAATGAATTATTTTTCAGAATATTATATCTGTAATTTGATGCAAGTACTTAAACTTTCTTCTGTCCTTATTATAAATATTTTTATCTTTTGCAAAATTAAAAAATAAATTTATTTTATTAAAAACCTTCTATTTAGCTAATCTATACTAATATTATAAAGAGGTAATGTTTGTAAGTTTGTATGCAGCAGGTAATCTCCAAAACTACTCATCTGATTTCAAAAATTCTTTCACCAATATTTAGAATGGAACTTCAGGGTGGACATAGGCTGTATATTATTCCGTTAAACATTCATATAAATTAAAAGATATAATTTAGGTTAAGTCCAAAGATATAATTTAGGTTAAGTCCAAGTGTCCATCTTTTATGTCCAAAAGATGGCACTACGAGTATGACGCCCTAAGTTTGCTTTTTTGTGAGGCATTACACTTTTCTGTGAAAATGAACTAAAGCGGATCATCTTCTATCTATTTATATAAATAAAAATGTAATGTTTGTTTGTTCCTACCGATTCCTTTGAAATTTTGACACAACGCTGCATTCGAATACGCACATGTTTTTATATAAAATACATGTCAAAATTCCCCCTCCCGGGGGAGATGGACAGGATTAAGGCTTACTGCAAAGTACTCTGCTTCTATTTATACTATTTTAGATGCGATTTTATGCGTTTTTGATTGCGTTTTAATAGGGTACGTCAAGAGAATGTACACTAAGAAGGAATTTTTTGAAAAATTCCCCCCACGGGGTAAGTGTTATACATTTATAATAGATACATTTTGAGCCACAACAACGCGTGGCGGGGTCTGCTAGTGCATAATAAATTTATTTTACTCAAAAAAGATAAATAAAAAATTAAATTATAGTTTCAAACTATTGTTTGTTTAAGTTAAAAACTATTGTTTTACTTCCAAATACAATAATACTAGCATACATACATCTTGAAATATTTCTTGAGAACATTCTGCTGTCTGAATAAAAGTTTTATAATTATGAAAAGCAAGGTCTTGTGTTTGTTCTAAAATTGAAGCTTTTTCTTCAGCTAATTTTTCTGGTTCTTCACCTAAATAAAGTAAATATTATATTCACTATTTTTAAACATAAACTTTTGATAGAAATATTACACATATATAGTAATTAAATCATTATATGTTATAATCATATCTGTATCAGTATTTCTTATTAAATAAAAGTCCAAACTTCTGAATAAAGATTAATTTTACAGTGTTAAATAAATTAAAAAACTATTTTATCTTTAATCATTTCTTATATTAATTAAAATAAAAATGTCAGCCTATTAGAAGAAAATTCACATTTTGATTGAAAATAAGTATTTTGAATAAAATATCCCATTTACACACCTGATAGTTATATAAAAATGTAAGTATCTCTAAATTTAATTTTATCTTTACAATCTATACTATTATAATTTAAAACTTAATCATAATATTTTAAAGTAAATACATAATTACAGAAGAAAGAATTATTTGGTCTATTGTTTAAAGTTTTTAGACTATATTTATTATAAAAACATTTTTAAAATTAATTGAAACCTTTCTTATTAGAAGTTTTTTTTAATAAAAAAATGTAGTCCATAACTTAATATAGCTATTATAAAAGTGTTTATTGCAATTCTCTGAGAAATCTTAAAGATAAGAAACGCTAAGAAATCAATAAATATTATTCAACTAAAATACAGTCAAACCTCGGTTTATGAACTTAATTCATTCCTAAAAGTTGTTTGGAAACCAATTTGTTCTGAAACCAAAACAAATTTCCCATAAGAAACAACGTAAAATGGATTAATTCATTCCCGATCCCCAAAACACAGTCTTTTTTTTTTAAACCTTTTTGGTGGTATTTCATGCATAAAAATGCCTACAAATACAATATATTATTATATATAATATAATAATATCTATATCTATTCTATATATATTAAAAGTAAAGTGGAATTAATCCATCACCACCAACCAAAATTTAAACTTATACTTTACAAAGAAGTGCTACAGAGACTGCCAAAATGAAATATAACCAAATCAAACAAGACCAACAAGTACTTTATCCACACTTTCTGAAATGTTATTTTTAAATTGAGTTGATTTCAATTTTAATTAATTAATTAATTTTGATTTTATTTTAAACTTTAGTGTAAAGACCATGGTTTAATTATTATTTTTAATTAACTGGCTACCTAGTATTAATAAATATTCAATTAAACATTAATATTATAATAAAAAATTTTTGTAATTTAATTTAAATTAAGCACTTTAAAGACAGATTCAAAAATGTCATTTATATTATGTGAATGTCAATTAACATAGTTTTTATTAATTAATTTGATTTAAATTCAATTGTGATGCATACTGATAAATGGAAGTAACATCATACCCACATACAAATTGAAATCTAATTTGAATAACATCATCATTGATGGTTTGTGTTGTGATGTCTAATGACAAAAAGCAAATCTCAGTGCCACTACTAAATCAGTAATCCTGTCATTGATCAGTTGGGCCATCTACTTTCTTTAACATAGGAAGTATAGGAAGTTGACCATCAATAGCTGGCTCTGCTGATTAGCTTGCTTGGAAACAGTTATCGTATGGCAACTACAGCAAATATGGTTTACAAAATTTTGTTTGTAAACAGAATTGTTCGTAAATAGGGCATTCATAACCTAAGGTTTGACTGTAATCATATATAGTATGTGAATAACTCTGCACTTAATATAGTGCAATTCAAACAAATTTTCATATAATTTTAGATTCACTTATTTCTGTTTAATATTGCTAATGAAATTGTTAATAAAACACTGCATTATAAATAATAAAATTGTTTCTTTAATTTCCTACCATTAATTTGGAAGTTGTTCTTGTTCTATTTAGCCTGAAGAGGACGAATAAACTTGGCTAAAAACATTAGCTTAAATAAAAATACAGCTATTGCTGGTTTTAAAGGTTTGTTGTGAATGTATATAAAAACTATAGATATTTTAAGTACAATTATTAAATATGTGTACTTAATTTTAGTTTTATTTGATTCAAAAAATTTTATTTTTTCTTTACAATACTGGTCATGTAAATGACATTAATGACTCAATATTTGAATAGTCCAATATATTTTTCCAATATTTTTCAAATATTCCAATATAGAACAGAGAACAGAAATTAACCTGAAGATTTTAGGTATACATCAAACTCGTTTGTCTTTAATGTATTTAATTAAAGTTCTTCACTGGCCTTAGATTTTGAAGTGTTTGAGTTTTATTCTATCTTTTTCCTAATGATGGAACACTATTTTAAACTTATTAATGGTTCTATACACAAGCAATTCACTAAAGATCATAAAATCATAATTAAGAACTATTGGCAATCTAGCAGACAGATCTAAAGTTAAATAAAAAAAATTTTACTTATTTCCAAGCTTTAAATCTGTTTTAAGCAAGTTTAACATAAACCAAGATTTGATTCAAGATTTACTGAATGTATTGCAAATAAAAACAATGCACAAAACCAGAAAATTTCATATAAAATAAAAAAACTTGATTGCTATCACAATTTTTTATACGATTTTAACTGTAATTCTTAAAAAAATGAAACTTAAAATAAAATTGTTACAATTCTTTTTTAAGCATAAAATATATTTAAAGTTCATAATTATCATCAATATAAATATTTATTTAATTTAACACTTACTAAGAGACTGTAATCCATAGGAACTTAATTCAGATAAATATAAAACTGTGTCTGGATTATCTTTCCAGCATTCTGTAAAACAGTTCAAGAAATTATTGAATATATATTTATCATATATACTCATATTTATTTTATCTAATTAGATTAAAATTGACTCAATTTTTAAATCAAAAAATAAAAGTATATTAAATTTCAAAAGTACACTTATTTATTTAAAACATAACTATATTGTAATTAGCTTAAAATTCAAAGCAGACTTGCTTCAAACCTTAATCAAATTTTTATTCCTCTTAAAATTTAAAGAAAAAATCTAATACAATAATCTAATAACACAAATTCAAGTTGATTTTAAATATAAATCTGATTAATTAAGCTAGGTAAATTAAACAATAAGAAATAAAAATCAAATTATATGACTAGATGTAGTTCTCTGTTGATATTGCATTCAGATCCTGCACATTGCAAAGAAATAAATGAAAAGTTTCAAACAAAAACAACACTTAATTAACAGATGACAGCTGAATGCCGGTTAAATTGTTTTAAATAAACTTACATCCAATGGAATGTGGACAAAAACATTTGCGTAAGTAAAAATTTTTGCTGGCTTTTGTGTAGGTTGATTTAATATTTAATTATACTAAAAACAAAAACATTTCCTTTAAACATTTCAACAAAGCTTCAAATACTAAAAGTTACAACAGCTGTATTCGGCAAACTCAACAGTTCCAGAGCCGTTAAGTATTTTTCTGCCAAAAGCTCTCTATAGTAGCATTGTTTCAGAACATTTTTGGTGTTTTAACATCACATTTAGTAGCATATTTCATTTACGCTACCTTTTGCTAGCTGCTTTCTGTTTCAATACACAAATCACTCATCATTCAGCAGATTCACCTTTAGAATGCAACTATGCAGACGCAAGCAAATTTTCTGAGCGAGCTAGAATGTGTAGCAAGAAGAGGTGATGACATCTCATGCTCTCTTTTTCTTGCTCACATTTATTACGATCACACAGACGAGAGCAAGAAACAGACAGCGTGAAACGTCATCACCTCTTTTTGCTTGCTTGTATCTGCATATTCACACCCTTATTCAGTTACAACTGTTGAGTCTGCTGAATACAGCAATGCTTTTACTTACGTTTCATATAAGCTGTACCACATTTTTATTTTTATGTGTTTAATAGTGATGTAACGAATATTCGGTTACTATTCGGTATTCGGCCTATTTTTCGTTATTCGGCCGAATACCAAATATTTAATCACTATTCGGCCGAATACCGAATATTTAATCACTATTCGGCCGAATACCGAATACCTAAAAACAGGAGTAATAAACAACAAAAACACAGTAAATTAATCATTTTGGTATTTATAGTTAATGTTATAAAGTTAGTGTTGTTTGTTTATATTTATTTATAACTTGTAACATGCACAAAATAAAAAAAGAAAATAATATTAGTCACATATATTCACATTTTATAATTACAAAGATCAGCACACATACACGTCTATCGTTGGAAAATCCTCACACATCTGAGAGTCTGACTCTGCCTATCCTTCTTTTTAAGCGCTCGTCCTCTATCGCTCTAATCCATTTATGCCTGTGCATACATCACAATACGCGCTCACGATACTTTCGATTCGTCACTTTTCCGTCGTAGAGTTCCCATTTTACAATTACGTGACTCAGCCTGGTGATAACGAAGAAAAGAGACAGATAGGACGTCGATATAAGTCACAGTTATGATTTCACACATTCGAGACAGCTTGATAGCCCGAACGGCCCCAGGCTTTCACCAGTACACGCTAAGTGACTTTCATTACAAGCATTTAGCTTTCCGAAGTCTATGACAACAATTGTTTGGCATTGACGGCCGCGAATTTTGCGCCAATAAGCTACTTCGACTCGTTCGATTATGTTATTGACTCAACTTCATATTTATTTTCACATTTTCACTTCGCGGTCCTTCTCTGTTCTTTCTCCGTTATTTACACGTGCAGGACATTTCATTGTTATCCACATTTGATATCATCACTTATCACATACTGTCATGACGCTCATGTCTGTCCGCTTCAACTGTCAAGAATTAACGCAATTGGCGAAGCGTAGTGACAGCGGGCCAATAGAGAGCGGGGTCCTTGCCATAATGCGGTTTGCGCGCCAATTTTCGTATGTGCAATAATCGAGCCGAATATTCGGCCACGCTCCTGGCCGAATATACTATTCGTTACAACACTAGTGTTTAATCATTTTTTGTAATTTTTGTAAAAATTTTTCATTTATAAGAAATAAAAATGCAAATTTTTCAATGCTCAGTATTAAGATATTGCTGTTGCAACTGAAAATAATAAATAACGAATTATATAAACAAATTACCTTTATTTCTTGATAAAGAACTTCCTAATTTGATAAAAACACAATAAATATATAGAAGAGAGAGAGAGAGAGAGAGAGATATGAAAATATACCAATAAGTCGTGTGTGGGTATTATCATTAATATACAAATCATAAATATATATGTGGTACGTACTAAATCTACTGATAGAATACAATTTGATTAAACTTTTTGTGGATTACGTGTCAACAAATCTAAAAATTAAAGTTTCATCATTGGATAATTTCAAGTTAAAATATATTTACCAATCTTGAATACGATGAAGCAGAAAGCAAACATTGTTAGTTTATAACTACGATAAACTTCTTACCTGGACAACTACCGGAAAAAATAACATTTAAAAGGTCTTCGGCTTCACCTGTTTCATCGCAAGCAGACATTCTTCCAACTGCTACCGGGAAAATACCTCTAGCGGATAAAATAGGCATTATAAAAATATACAGTATATTTTTCTTCGTTATTTTATTTTCATTCCTTCTCTCGAGATGGAAATTTCTAAACTCGATAATTTAAAAATTTCGTAAGTTTCTATTGCTCCAACAGTTGCTTTAATACCTATATCGGAAAGTGTATATAGACTAGCTAGCGTCTTCATCGACGGCCAGATGACCGACAGGTCAAGGTGGCAGCCTACCGCCCTGGGAATCCGGGTTCGAATGTGGGCGGGTCGATAAATTAGTAGGATTTTCCCATCCCTCAGTATCCGTCCACCCCATTATGGGCATGGCCGAATCCATAATGAACTTGCTAAAAGAGGCCCTCTTAGCGCCCACAGGGCGAAAAGAGTTAAAATAAAAGCTAGCGTTTTCAGTTCTTCTTAATCTTCTTGGATTACTTTACAGAGCAACTGCTTGATTACTTTCAATCGGAGTCTTCGTGTAACTATTGACAATAACTGATTAACATGTAATCGCTCCTGAAGAACATTCTCCGGCAGCAGACTCGCAATCTGGTTTTCCACGGTTACTTTTCTTTTTTTAAATTCAATACCATGTCGTTTTACTACATTTTGTCATAGCTGTGGTGATAGCCCAAATAGTCTTTCACACATAGTCTTTTAATCAATTACATCTACTTCGCGGACCCTGAGGACCCGCGACTAACACCAGAAATTTTTCGTGTCTGTCCCAGATATATCAAGACCCATCCTTTACTATTCGGCCGCTCCATTGTGGTGCTGGCCGAACTCATGACGGATATGATTAAAAAGGCTCCCTTAAGTGTCTCCAGAACAAAAGGAGTGAAAAAATAAAAACACACTCACAAATAATATAGCACAGCACCGCCTTCACATACCTACATCTACGGCCGGATGGCCGAGCGGTCAAGGTTACAACCTACCGCTCCGGGGGACCGGGAATCGAATCCGGACGGGTCAAGGAAACCCCAGGAAATTTTCGGGGGTGGTCAGTTCGGATATGTCGGGCCTCGTCCCTCACCATCCAGTCGCCCCATTGTTGGCCTGGCCGAACCCATAATGGGCCTGCTATAAGAGGCCCTCTTAGTGCCCACAGGGCGGAAAGAGTATTAAAAAAAACATAACTGGATCTGCTACTGCATATCTAAGATATTTTGCTTATATAAACAACTGATATACAATTGACAGGGCATAAACATACAGTAGAGTCGCTATAGTCGGTTACACGCGTTCAGTAGTCCGACATTCCGCAGAGCAGCGCGCATGAAATTTTCTTGTTACTCCTTGTCGATGTATGTGACAGAGAGAGACTGATGTATGTGTATATTGTCAGTCGCTAGTTGTTTATTGCACGTGCGATCGGCAAAAACAATCAATCCTGATTAATACGATAATATAACCTGTGAAGAAAATGCATTCTTTAACTAAAGCACTTCGGCTGTAACTGGAATTAAAGGATAGATTACGGCATCCATGTTTAGCTCAAGCGGCAAACGTTTCTAAACTATAATGCAGTGATGTGTAGCGATAGCTTCTCGTGACGTCATTTCCTCTACACTCTCTCTACATTCTAGATGACATCTACTGTTTGATAAATATGATATAGTTGTCGTTATTGTTGCCGGTAAACAATACATTCTATCACTGTTTCTTGCGTGTTCGAACATCATCACAAAGTACGCAAATACGAAAGACGGATAGTGTAGAAAATTTAGGAAATTCCCTAACTCCATATCCCTGTCTAATAATGAGACTTGCATAAGATAGAGAAAGTAGAAAAATGTTTACGCAATTCATATTACTGAATAAATAAATATTCGGATATAAAAATGACCATTTTTACCATGGCTTCTACAGTGTGAATAATAATAATAATACAGTATATTCGAAAGCTTAATGAATTGATTGAAGTTATATTCTGAAGACAGAGAAACAGTGACATCTTTCACACTTTCATGATCAAAACCGATCCAAATAATTTTGATGCTTGAGACAAGTCTAAGAAGAGCGCCGATGTACTGTACAGACATACGTTTCTTTAAACATTATGATACTTTTTGAGCATCCCTTCCAATGGCAATGCCACTTTATTATGCTTTAAGAATAATAATAGGAAGTAATACTAATTAAAACATAAAACCATTTATGTTTGTTAATACGAAATACGCATTTGTATTAGAAAGTGCAATAATTTCTATCTTTGGAGATTAAGGATCTGGCGATGCGTGTTACAAAACTAACCTATACAATTAATTTTAATTATAGAATGTCGATATTTTACTATAGAAAGATAATAATAACAAAAATTGTATTAAATCCAATAAAAAATTTCCATTAATTATAATCATAAAAGTGGTTGAGATATGTAACATTACATCCTCGACAATGGGATGCCTCGATGCAATACTGTATTCTTTAGTCTACTTGTGTTAAAACCCTAAAAGATTAAATAAAAATTTATTGATTTAATTATTTGTTGCCTGCTCCTGAAAGATTTTCTGCGGACAGCCATGGTATTTATGGTATTTACACAACGTTAACTTTGTTAGCGCCTACATTATTATAATGCATTTCATTATATTGTACTTGTCTTAGATCANATATAAAATACATGTCAAAATTCCCCCTCCCGGGGGAGATGGACAGGATTAAGGCTTACTGCAAAGTACTCTGCTTCTATTTATACTATTTTAGATGCGATTTTATGCGTTTTTGATTGCGTTTTAATAGGGTACGTCAAGAGAATGTACACTAAGAAGGAATTTTTCGAAAAATTCCCCCCACGGGGTAAGTGTTATACATTTATAATAGATACATTTTGAGCCACAACAACGCGTGGCGGGGTCTGCTAGTGCATAATAAATTTATTTTACTCAAAAAAGATAAATAAAAAATTAAATTATAGTTTCAAACTATTGTTTGTTTAAGTTAAAAACTATTGTTTTACTTCCAAATACAATAATACTAGCATACATACATCTTGAAATATTTCTTGAGAACATTCTGCTGTCTGAATAAAAGTTTTATAATTATGAAAAGCAAGGTCTTGTGTTTGTTCTAAAATTGAAGCTTTTTCTTCAGCTAATTTTTCTGGTTCTTCACCTAAATAAAGTAAATATTATATTCACTATTTTTAAACATAAACTTTTGATAGAAATATTACACATATATAGTAATTAAATCATTATATGTTATAATCATATCTGTATCAGTATTTCTTATTAAATAAAAGTCCAAACTTCTGAATAAAGATTAATTTTACAGTGTTAAGTCCTGTGACACCTTTGCTGTGTATAGCATTATCCTGTTGGAAAATGGCTCTTGGGAGCCCTGCCACAAGAGGCAACACATGTGGCTGCAGGATGTCACTAATGTACCAATGGACTGTCATGGTCCCTTGGATCACTACTATAGATGACTGGCTGTCATATGATAGCACACCAACTGTGTGGTAATGTATTGCTCCAAAGCATAGGCAAATTGAGATGTTCACCACGTGGACGCCAGACATAAACACTGCTATTGTCAGTGCACAAACTGAATCTTGATTCCTTGCTGTAAACAACCTGGTTCCATTCCACTGCAGTCCAAACTCATAAAGAGTGATGCTACTCCAAATAAAGTTGACAATGGATGGCTGTCAATGGCAGCACATGTAACGGCCACCACAATACCAAATGTTCCTCACCCAGGTGTCTCAAAATAGTAGACAGACAGACATAGGAGCCTGTAATGATGGCATAACCTGTGTCTAGATGGTGGAAAATGATACAATCAGCTGTGTGTCTGTTGTTGGAGGACCAAGTGGTCCTCTCAGCTAGTGAGTGGTTTGTCGAAGATGTTCTGTGCCTGGGCACAATGTGTACAAGTCTCTCTCATCCACTGGTCCCAACACCTCCACACAGTGTTGTCAGAACAACCTAGATGGAGGACCTATTTGATGAGATGATCATCCAGCTTCTTTTAACCTGATGATCCTTCCTCTCTCAAACTCAGTTAGTTGTTCATATGGTCTTTGATTGCAAAGTCCTTTGTTTCATATAGTACAGATTTGCATAACATAGCACTTTTTTCAAATGTAACTACTACATTATTTGAGAGATACCTGTATTAATGTTTTTGACCATGTTCAAAGGTTATCTTCAGCAATTCTTAACTTTTATGCAGTATAGCCTGAAGATGGCCTTTGAACAATATCAAAAACATTAGAAATTAAACGAAGCATTGCTGGAGTTTTATAATTTGTGTTAAATATTACAAGATAATTTAGTAATTTAAACATGTTCACATTTCATTCAAAATGCTTTAGAAAGAACAGAGTTATCAAAGTATACCCTATTAAAAAATATTTTCCACAATAGAATCAAATGAATCTACTAGATATATAATGCTATAATAGAATTATTTACGTTCCTGAAAATTTTTCATAAAATTTGATGCTACATTATAATGCAACATACAGATATTCTATTATAATGCAGTATGATCAGCAATCTATTATTTTTCATATTGTTATTTCTATGTTCTGTAAATTTTCAATGTTTTATTCACAATTTTGTTCGTGTTAAATTTTTTGTTAATGAATTATTTTTCAGAATATTATATCTGTAATTTGATGCAAGTACTTAAACTTTCTTCTGTCCTTATTATAAATATTTTTATCTTTTGCAAAATTAAAAAATAAATTTATTTTATTAAAAACCTTCTATTTAGCTAATCTATACTAATATTATAAAGAGGTAATGTTTGTAAGTTTGTATGCAGCAGGTAATCTCCAAAACTACTCATCTGATTTCAAAAATTCTTTCACCAATATTTAGAATGGAACTTCAGGGTGGACATAGGCTGTATATTATTCCGTTAAACATTCATATAAATTAAAAGATATAATTTAGGTTAAGTCCAAAGATATAATTTAGGTTAAGTCCAAGTGTCCATCTTTTATGTCCAAAAGATGGCACTACGAGTATGACGCCCTAAGTTTGCTTTTTTGTGAGGCATTACACTTTTCTGTGAAAATGAACTAAAGCGGATCATCTTCTATCTATTTATATAAATAAAAATGTAATGTTTGTTTGTTCCTACCGATTCCTTTGAAATTTTGACACAACGCTGCATTCGAATACGCACATGTTTTTATATAAAATACATGTCAAAATTCCCCCTCCCGGGGGAGATGGACAGGATTAAGGCTTACTGCAAAGTACTCTGCTTCTATTTATACTATTTTAGATGCGATTTTATGCGTTTTTGATTGCGTTTTAATAGGGTACGTCAAGAGAATGTACACTAAGAAGGAATTTTTTGAAAAATTCCCCCCACGGGGTAAGTGTTATACATTTATAATAGATACATTTTGAGCCACAACAACGCGTGGCGGGGTCTGCTAGT